TCTTCTGATAGGGCTTATCTGCTGTTAAAACCATTCTCTGGCTTTCCAATTTTGGTTATTGTATTTCATTTTCAGAAATTACTTTTTTCTCCCCAAATTCATGTTATTTGTTTAGTTTTTTCTCTGTAGATATACAAAACAAACTAACAAAAAACCCATTCCTGCTCAGTTGATGGCCAACTCACGGTGACCCCCTGTATCTCAGAGTAAAACTGAGCTCCACAGGGTTTTGGTATCTGTAGTCTTTATGGGAAAGAAGACATGGTGGTGCAGTGGTTAAGTGCTTGGCTGAAAACCAAAAGGTCAGTGGTTCAAACCCGCCAGCAGCTCTGTGGAAGAAAGTGTAGCAGTCTGCTTTTGTAAAGTTCTACAGCCTTGAAAATCTTACGGGACGGTTCTACTCTGTCCTATAGTGACGGTATGAGTTGGAATCGACTCAACAGCAATGAAGATTGCCAGGCTTTTTTACTGCAGCACTGCTGTGTTGGTTTGAACTACCAATCTTCAGGTCAGTAGCAAAGCACAAACTATTTATGCCATCCAGACTGCCTTATTTCTTTAAATATAGCAAGCACACTAGACTTACCAGGTAGCTTTTTATCGGTTTGTTCTCAATGTCTTATTTTCTTATTCTGATTATTTTAAATTGTGAGCTTTTAAAGCTCTACAAGAATTTATAATTACTCAAAATATAGGATGAAGATGCCATCTTCCAGAGATGATGATTTTTACTTACTTCTAGTCTTTTAAGGACACTAATAGTCCAGAACCACCCTAAAATAATTTTACGTGTAATTGCTTAGATCTTTACTGCTCAGTGTGGTTCTCACCAGTGGCATCAGCGTCACCCAGGAGCTTATATAGGAACGCAGGCCCCAACTCAGTATTACTGAACCAAAATCTGTATTCCAGTAAGATCCTGGATGATTCACGGGGACACTGAAGTCTGACAACACTAAGCCAGTGACACAAGTTTGGCTGCAAAAGCAGAAGGGTTGAGTTTCAACCTCTCAGCAACATGAGAGGTTGTTTTAGACTTTGTTCAGTGCACCATGGTTTACTTCATGAGTGCAGCACTCTAGAGCCCCAGCAAAAATTGTGTGTATGGTGCTATTATGATGGCCCCAACCCAGGAGGAGCTGGGCTCAGAATTCTGAATCCTTTGGCATACATGGCTCCTAAAACCATAGCTTTGTTCTGTGGTTCTAGTTGTCCTGGCACCAGAAAGCAGCTTTTAGTTTGGCTAGTATATATGCAGATTCTTGAGATGGTGGTATTTTGCCCCAGCACCGTGCAGTTATTCCATTACCTTTTGGTCTTAGTTGCTGTTAAGAACTCGTCAATCTAACAGTTGCTCCTTTATAAAGCAATCTGTCTCTTTTCTCTGGTTGCTCTTACGCTTTTCTTTTTTTTTTTAAATATTCTCCTGTTTTGAATTTTCTTTTAGGTCATTTGCTCAACTATTATAATTTACTATTTTCTTCAGCTGTGTTTAACCTAATGTTTAACTGTTCATTTATTTCAAAGACTACATTTTCACTTCTTGAAGTTCTAAGTTCTCCATATCCTCTTTTCTAACAGTATCCCTATCCATTATGGTTTCTATTCCTTTTTTATAAAAATCTCTAATCATTGTGAACATTTCTTGTGGTATATTATTTCCTCATGTAGCTATGAATTCATCTTCAGAGCTTATTTCTTTTGTCTTCAGGTTGTAAGTGTTCCTACAGAGAGGTCTTATCTTTGTTTTTGCCAGCAGTATCAGGATTTATGTTAAATTTTTCACAACAGAGATTTCTGTACCAGAGTGTAAATTTAGGATTTACAAATGTGGATACTGAGTCTTGGATTCTCTGCTTCGAAGCAAACCCCCAAGCCTATACTTTAAACACAAGCACTACAACTTACTTGGCAAGGCCAGTCCTGCTTTCACTGTATACGTGTGTGTGTGTGTGTGTGTGTGTGTGTTAAGAGGATTCTCAGTTCTAGCTCTCCCACTTTGCGCAGTTACATCTCCTGCCCCTTAATAATAAAACTCTGGTCTCTGTCATAAACTCTCAAATCACTCTGATAGGTGCTTGTGAACTATCACTAGCTTTCAGTTCCCTCTTTATTCTTACAATCTGGAAATCTTTTCTTTCTAGCTTGCCTTATTTAGGAGGCCCTGGGTGGTGTAAATGGATGATATGCCAGGCTAACTAAAAGGTTAGAGATTTGAATACACCAAGAGGTTATCTCAGAAAAAGCCTGGAGATCTACTTTCTGAAAAATCAGCTATCAAAACCTCTATGGCGCACAGTTCTACTCTAACCCACATGCAGTTGCCATGAATCAGAACTGACTTGATGGTAAATGGTTGGCTTATTTAAATTTTAGTTTTATTTTGAGTGTGTCTATGTGCATAGTGGGTAAGACACTTGGTTGTAAACCAGGTCTGCGGTTCAAACCCACCAGCTGCTCCATAGGAGGAAAATGAGGCAATCTTCTGTAAAGGTTTACAGCCTTGGAAACCCAAATTGGGGGGAGGGGGGTAGGTTTGAGTCAGAATCGACTCTATGGCAGTGGGTTTGGTTTTTTATGTGTATGTGAGGACACTGGTGATACAGTGGTTAAATGATTAGCTATTATGGTAAGCAAGGTTATGTGTCAATTTAATTAGGCTTGGTTTTGAGTGGCTGAGCAGCTGGATATAGTTACTCTCCATGATGAGACTGGTAATCAGCTCTATGGTGGAATCAACTATGAGCAGCTGAGTAGCTGCCTTAGGGATATGGTCTGCTTCTAGTATATTAAGAAAACACTTTGAGAAAGGTCTATGAGCTTTTGGCATGCTTGGACCCTGAACGAGGCCAATTCAGCAGCCTGCCATGTTGCCTAATAATCTTGGGACTGTGCAATTTTACTTGTCAATCTTGGGTTTGTCAGCCTCAGCAGCCAGCAGCTGCCTGAGTTAACAGGTGCCTCCAGCTCCAGTGAGCCTGGAGCAAGAGATAGACCGAAGCCCAAGATCCAGGGGCCTTCACACAGGCCCTAGAGCTGGCACTTTGAACTCAGACTTCCAGCCTCCTAAACTTTAAGAGACTAAATCTCTGTTTGTTAAAGCCAACCATTTGTGGTAATTTTCTGTTAGAGCAGCATTCAAACTCACTGCTGTCGAGTTGGAGAACCAAAATAGCTGCTGACCAAAAAGGTCAATGGTTTGAACCCACCAGCAGCTCAGCAGGAGAAAGATGTAGTATTTTTCTGTCCTATAGAATTGCCCTGAATCAGAATTCACCAGATGGCAATGGGTTGTGTATGTGGGGGTGCAGCAGAGAGGGGGAAGATTCATGTTAGCTGTTCCAGAAGTTGAAGTCAAGGAAGTGTCATGAGTCCTCATTTTCTGGGAGCATGTCAGCTTAAGATCAACACATAGAGAAACTTTTCTACCTTTTACCTATATTTCATTCAAACATATGAGCCCCAGGTGTTTGCTAGGGCTATAATGGGATAAGACTTTGGATTTGACCTTTAGAGGCCTCATCAAGTAGTTGTCTAAAGTTAACATCTGAGCTAAAAGCTGGAGACTTCAGGATGGGTATGGATGTGACAAAGGGTTCTTCTTAGACAAACAGAGACATGTGTAAGGACAGGTTTATAAGAATAGGACAAGATTTGGAAGGACTGGTAAAAAAAAAAAGGAAGAATCATTTATAATCAGAATGTAAAGGCATTCAAAAGACTACCATGTAGGCTATGTGATAAGGATTATGATATCTTATCTTAGCTGTTGAAAAGGAAGAGTAGATTGGCTTAATAGAAACTGTAGAGGTTATGCATAGGATAAATTTTTTTAAAAGAACATTTACTGAAATATAATTTATGTGGAATACACAAAACTAAAGTGACATGGGATAATGCATTTTTTTTTTTTTTGCAATGTTCCTGCTCCTACCCCTGATAACCACCAAACAAAGTTTCCTCCCATACATAAACCTTTAATTGCTTTTTTTAAAATAATGAACTAATACTAAACTTGTCCTTCTATGATTGACTTATTTTACTCAGCAGAATGTCCTCAAGAACATTCATGTTATGCAGATTCTACATTATTTTTCAGTGTTGCATAGCATTCTATTGTATGTATGTACCACAGTTTGGTTATGCATGTTGTTTTTGTTGTTATGTGCCATCGAGTTGGACCCAAGTCACAATGACCCCTCCTTGGGTTTCCAAGGCAGTATCACTATGGAAGTAGATTGTCCAACCTTCCTTCGGTGGAGTGGATGGTGGGTTTGAACTGCCAGCCTTCTGGTTAGCAGTCAAGTGCCTTAGGTTATACGTAGGATATATTTTTGAAAATTTTAGTTCTACAGTAAAAATAGGAAAAATACAGGAAAGAAAATTAGGGAGTTACTTAACTACTGCTGTAACAACTTAGGACAGATACAAGGATTTTTTACCAAAAATTTTAAACAAAGACAAATTTTGGAGACACAAAACAGAAACCTGTAGGTTGCCAAATTTAGAAGAAAAAGAAAAGCCAAGAATTTTTTAGTGTATTTTTAGTATAACTGGAGCGCTGGTGGCATAGTGCCTAAGGCATGTGGCTGCTAACCAGAAGGTACAAACTCATCAGCCACTCCTCGGAAGGAAGGTTGGGCAATCTACTTCTGTAGTGTAGTGATACCGCCTCGGAAACCCAAGGAGGGGTCGCTATGAGTTGGATCTGACTCGATGGCAGTGAGTTTTTTGTTTGTTTAGTATAATTTTAGTATAATTATGGGACATACTAATAATTCTTATACCTAATTATACTAGAAAACTATTCGCTGTTTATTTGAAATTCAAATTTAACTGAGTGTCTTATATTTTATCTGAAAACTCTACTAGCAGCCATGAAGACAGTAGGGGGGTTTGTAGACAAGGGAAGAAAAATGCCTGGCCTTGAAGTTAAAAGGATCAAGACTAAATGATCCTTTTAATGGTTTGCTTACCTAAACCTTGAGATGTGTACTTACCTGCATTGTAACTAGTCTGTCATCCACCATCACCTCCTTTGTCAGAAAGTCTGCTCCTATAGTGGCTTTGTACTGATTGCTGAATTTCTTGTTCACATACTGGTTCATGAGTGATGTCTTACCGACTCTGAAATCGGGGAAGAAAAAAAAAAAAAAAAACACAAGTATAAACCAAAAAGGAAGGGATCAAAAACTAACTCTTATATTTGCAGCTTTAAAAGTGCAGTGCAATGAATTACTTATGGTTCTTCTAGCCATGATCTTTGTGACTCCCACCAGATGTAGAGGTGGAACTTTGCAAATGTAAGATGACTGTGGTCCACCAAGGAGACTGGATAGCTTGCTAATAATGTAAATAAAGTACATGACACCCCTGTGGGGGTAGGAATATGCAAATAAGGTATATGGAACTCTAACATGGGACTGGTCAGTTTTGCCATCTCCCTAGGTTTAAAATGAGCCATCCCAGAGGTAGAAAGGGGATCTCACTAAAATCAAGAAAGAAGAACCAGGAGTGTAGTGTTTCCTTGGACCTAAGATGCTGTGCTGAAAACCTCCTTGACCAGGAGACAGAGAGCTGTAACACTTTGTTTTGATACCATATTCAACAAGAACCAATGACAGAGAAATGGTGGCAGCAGAGCCAACAGAACCAAGAGGCCAATGTGAGACAGAATGGTGAGCTTCCCAGTCCATGGAGCAAGAAAGCTGAGTGCCCCTCTTTGCATCTATTGGCAGAACTAAAAGAGCTTTGTAACACTTGCTCGATTAGAGCAGAGAGGCCAAAGCCAGAGAGAAGTATGCCTGTGACATGGCTAAGAAGTAGCTGTCCTGATTGAAAACTGTATCCTGAGATTGAAAACTGTATCCTGAGATGTAGCTCCTGAATTGTAGCCTGTTCCTTCCCTAATAAACCCCTTAATCACGAGTATCACCTGTGAGTTGTGTGTGGCCACTGGTATGAATTAATGAACATGGCAGAGGAAAGTGCCTTGGCAATGACAGTTGGTGTCAGAATTAGTAAAGAAGTTGTAAGGTGGAGACATTCTGACCTATGCTTCATAGGAATTAGCCATGAGCTGTTGTTAACATTGATCCTTCTCTCCACTTGTGAAGCTAGGAGCTCAGACGTCATCTCCATACCATTTTTTTTGCAAAAAGGAACCTGTTTTGAAGAACAAGGAACTGCCCTCAAAATAGAGGATGATGCCAACGAATCTCCTAACATTACTCATTTTAGGGTTGTACTTTCTCTTGGGATAAAATTACAAGGTACAGATGTGGGCCAGATGTTAAAATGCTGCTGCTAAATGTTGGCACAGGCAACTCAGATGATAGAAACTCATATTTTTCCCCCTTTAAGAAGGACGCCAGCAAATATTCTCCTTCTAAAATAGCAAAAGCAGTTAAGATCATGCCATTATTAAAGAAATATCACTGCAGCCTCAGGTGTTTATTTAGTGGTTACTACTCAGTTTGAGAAGGACCTCTGGTGGTCCTGTGGTTAAAGTACTGGACTGTTATCCAAAAGATTGGTGGTTCGAACCCATCAGCTGCTCTACAGGACAAAAATGACGAAGTCTGATTCAGTAAAGATTTATAGACTTGGAAACCCTATGAGGCAGTTAGTTCTACTCTGCCCTACAGGGTTGCTATGAGTTGGAATCAACTAAATGGCAGTGGATTTGACTCTGTTTGATAAAGTAATATAGCAGGAAACCAATGGTTTCAAGCAGACACATATACCAGTCAGTCAACTTTCTGCTTTATAAAGCTTAAGATCTGAAGCACAGAAAACATCAATATTTGACTGAACCAGAATCTACCTTAAAAGTATGCTGCTCTGTAGATGTTTCCCAGTAAGAAAACTCAGCAAGAGCCAATGCATGATTTTCTGTGATGAGTCTGGGGCAGGTAAAAGCCCCTAAAGATAATATAAAGTTTTCTTTATAACCAATAATATCACCTTCTTTTCCCCAAAGGAACACACAATAATTTAGTTTTTTCATAAACAGAGGATCTGAAAGTACAGATATAACCTAAGGCTTTCCAACCCAGACCACTTGATTCAGAATTTCAAGGGGAGAAGTCAGGAAATCTGTAATTTTAAGGGCCTGGTGATTTTTCTCAGGCAGACTTAAGTGACACTGGCTTAAAAGCAGTGCTTTTCAATCCTGGCAGCAGACTAGAGTCACCCTGAGTAAGAGTGTGTTTAAGTTGCCTACCTGCTTGGTGGAGGTCTGGTGGTGCAGTAGTTAAAGCACTCGGCCACTAACCAAAAGGTCAGTGGTACGAACCTACCAGCTACTCTGGGAAAAAGATGAGGCAGTCTGCTTCCAAAATAATTTACAGCCTTGGAAACCTATGGGACGGTTCTATTCTGTCCCATATGGCTGCGATGAGTCGGAATTAATTTGATGGCAGTGTTTGTTTTTGGTTTTTACCAGCTTGGCTGCTAACCAAAGGGTCAGCAGTACAAGTACAAATACAACAGCCGCTCCATGGGAAAAAGATGTAGCAGTCTGCTTCTGTAAAAATGACAGCCTGGGAAACTCTATGGGGCAATTCTACTTTGTCCTATAGGACCACAATGAGTCAGAACCAACTTGATGGCAACAGGTTTATTTCACTAGGCCCTCCTCCACTGATCAGGAGCTGATGCTGGTGCTTTTTTTTTTAAAAAAAGCTCCTCAGTGATTCAAATAAGCCAACTTTTCACCTGCTTTTTAAAGGGAGAGCAGGGAGCTTTGTAATGAGGAGGAACACCTGCATTTTATTACTATCACTGACTAGCTTCCAGTCCATTGTTTCCATGGGCACTTCACATGCCAAGTCTGAAAAGTACTGCCACAGAATCTTAAGACCAACTAAAAAGTTACTTGGCTAGAGACAGATCTAGGATAACAATTCAGTTCTCTAGTCTGAGGCTCTTCTGCATACAGGCCTGATTCAAGTACAACAGCAGGAGATTACTACACGGTGTAACCAAAGCCCCTATCTGGTAGGCATAAGGCCACTGGCAACAAATCTAATAAACAGGACTCCCCAGGGTAGCCAGCTTGGAGGAAGGGATTCCAAAAAAATTTAAATCATTAGTTAGGTGAACTCAAATAGCCACGCTTCTTTCAAAATCATGCTAACAGGTCTTAAAAGCTTGTGAGTGGCCATCTAAGACACAGCATCTGGTCTCTACTCATCTTGAGTAATAGAGAATGAAGGAAACAAAGACTCAAAGAAGCAGCTACTCCACAGGATTAACAGTCCACATAAACCATGGCCTCTTCTAACCTGAGACCAGAAGTACTGGATGGTGCCCAGCTACCATTACTGACAATTCTGACCAGGGACACAACAGAAGGTTCCAGTTAGAATGGGAGGAAAACATAGAACAAAACTCAAATTCATAAAAAAGACAAGACCTACTACACTGACAGAGATGCAAGAATCCCTGAGACTAACACCCTAAGACAGACACCCTTTTAACCCAGAAATGAAACCACTGCCAGAGGTTACTTTTCAAACAACAGACTGGATTATAAAATTATTATAGTATCACCCATGAATAATGTGTCCCTTAAACAATTAACTGTATGAGACAAAATGGTCAACATTTACCCAAAAACAAAGATGAGAAGGCAAGGAGGGGAAGGGAAGCTAGATCAACAGAAAGAGAAAAGAAACAGTAAGACTGCCAACACATTGTGAAGACTGCAAGCAATGTTACAGAACAATCTGTAAAAACAATTGTCAGATAGGAAACTAATTTATTATGTAAACTTTGACCTAAAAAACTATTGAAAAAGGAAAAAAATTACGCTAAAAGTCAGAGAAGGATAACGCCTCATACAAATTTCTACTATGTTCTGAAACAGCAGGGAGACCAAAGGCTGTATGCCACCACTATTAGAGAGGGAAGTGGCAAACGTCAGGGTGCAGGGCAGAGGCTCAAAGGTTAAGTTTAAATCCAAGCCAATCTGTTAGCTCAAAATTTCAGGAACACTTACCCAGAGTCTCCCAGGATGATAACTTTCAGCAACACTTTCTTCCTAGAGGTCATCCTTCAAACTGAAAGAGGAAAAGAGAAAGCACTTTGAGAGTGATGGAAATACCAAGGTGAACTGCACTTTCCTTGGCACAAACATCTAAGCAGTCCCAAGAACACTGTGCCTTGAGCCTTCCTGCTGGCTATTTTCCTATCATCAAGGGGGCCTTGATAAATAGCATTATCAGTCATCAGAACTCTGGATCAGAGTATAGGCAAAACAGCATGGCAGGACTAGCCTGTCCCTGTGAGTAGTCTGAAAGAATATATTCTCTAGCAGCTTGGGTTTTGCTAGAAGCAATTTGGATTAATGTTCCAATTTACTCAGTAGCTCAAGTTTGTTCCTTCTCTTCATTCAAGTCTCTGCTCAAATACCACTTCCTCAGAAAGGTGACCATTTTATCCAGACTAGTCCTCCATCCCTCCCCATTTGCTCTCCATTACTTTATCCTCTTTTGTATGTCTTCAGAAAACTTATCACTAGTTGATGTTTTATGTATTGCATTTGTCTTCTCTTTTCTAATAATCTCCATGAAGACAGTTTTATGCTGCACCGTATCCTCAGTGCCTAGCAGAGAATTATTATCTAATACTGATTTAATGCATGACAGATACTTGACTTAGCAGCTCCAGACCACCTTTTCCAGAAAACCTTTTGGGCAACCTTCCCTACCCCTGACCAGACGATATTTAAGACTAAGATGTATTTTTTTTTTATGTGTGTGATTTTGGTGAAATTTTACAAAGCAAATTTGTTTTACATTCAGTAGTTCACACACATTTTGTTTTGTGACACTGGTTACAGTCTAACACCTTCCTCCCTGTGGTTACCCTTTCCCTGTGTTCTATCTTGTCTATGCATTCCTGGCTCCCTCCCTTTCTTCCTGTGCAAATGTTGCCCTTCTGATCTTCCATCATTGATTGTTCTAAGGAGTGAAATCTCCATAGTACAGTTGCTTAGTTCACAGACATCATAAAATGTCTAATTTTTGCTCTACTCTTCACTCACCACACTGTGGTCCATTTACATACTAAGAAGGGTCCCTGTCTTATTCACCCCCAAGTTCAGAGACTGACTTGGTGGCTTTCAGAAAAGTTGGAGTCTTAAATGATCAACCTCAATATTACTGACCTATTTAAGAACTACTGGAGGAATCGTCCCCCTTCAGACAGCTGAAATCCCCAGAGAGGGGCTTGCATCCTCTCCTAAAATTGAGAATTCAAGACTGAATGTATGCATCTAAAAATGACATTTATGTCTTCTGAGAACCCCTAGCTTTGGCTCTTTATCTCTGGCAGATGTATAAATTTCTAAGGCAGGATATCAGGAGTGATAACACAGGGGTCAACATCTAACTCCTCCCTTCAGTGGGGCTGGGGGAAATAAATGTTTATATGCAAACAAAATAGGTAATTAAGTTGGTTCAGTAAAGCCTTTTATTATTCTACAGTTTGGGAGAACAAGAAAACCAGACAGTACTGCCTACAATGGGTGTAATGTAAGCATGCAAATACTGACAACTTGAGTTTTTATTTTGGTTTAAATCACTAATTAGATGTGTGATCTGGGGCAAGTCACTTAACCTCTCTGTTGGGATAGGGAGCTAGAGATAATAGTTCTTATGCCCTAAGGACACTGTGAAGACTCAATGAGTAAAATGCCCAGGACAGTAACTAGAATATAAACAACAACAACAACAAAATACCAAACCCATTGCAGTCAATTCAGACTCATAAGAATGTGTTAGACAGCAGAACTTCTGTACAGGCTGTGATGGAAACAGATACCTGGCCTTTCTTCTGTGGCACTGCTGGTTGGGTTTGAACCTTTTGATTAGTAGCAAAGCACAAACTGGTTGTACCACCCAGGGACCAGATCAGATTATAGTAAGTGTTTAATAAATGTTGGCTGCTATCATTTTAATGTGTGGTGATGCAGAAATGAATAAATAACAGAACACAGAGTCCAGAGGCAACAAGAAAACCAGTAAGTCACAGGGCCTACACAAGGTAATGTAAGCTACCTCCCCTCTTTTCAGATGCCTGACAATTCCTTTCCTCTTTCTCAACAGGTGGTATTGCAACAAGACTACAAACTGAAAGGAAGTATTAGAACTGACTACAGTTCCACACACCAAGAATAGATAGTGAGTCCTATGCTCTTGAAAGTTGCTGTCTTGTATAGTTTCTGAGAGCCTGTTTCTTGTGGCTGCAGTAACAGTATGGGAATGGGAGCCAGGCTGGAGGAAAAGTTTTCTAGGAACTTACACCAAGCCCCATGATGCATCCCAGGGGTCAAGGTGTCTCAAGGCTTTAGCCTGTCCATGGCTGGATTCTGAAGAAACACTATCTCAGCCCACCAGTATGTATCCGTACAGCTCCCACTAGAGCTAGTTAGGGGGCGAGAAGGGCAGTATGAGAGTTAGGAGTTCAAAGCCTACTTATTTCAGTCTTCTATCATATCTACAATTTTTTTCTATCGGGGTGAGAGGCATACCCCAAACCATCCATATCAGTGGATCCCATAAGCATCCATCTTCCTACTCAGGGAATGCCTCACTGTTAAGTCACAACCACTGTACTGGAAAGGCAGATTTGAAATAAACGCTTTTGGAACTCTGGAACCTAACTGGATGCTTATAACCAGGGGGTGTATGATGAAGGGGAGGCTGCTAGTCTTTGGTAGCTGGGCAAAACCAAAAACCAAACTCACTGCCGTGAAGTTGGTCCTGACTCATAGCGACCCCTTTCGGTTTTCGAGGCAGCATCTCTATGTAAGTAGATTGCCCAGTCTTCCTTCTAGACAGTGACAGGTTTGTTTGAACTGCCAGCCTTCTGGTTAGCAGTCAAATGCCTTAGGCACTACGCCACCAGAGCAGCTACATTCCTGAAGTGGCTGGCTGGTGTCAAGGTAAGCAGTAGGCACCCTGTGTGTCACACACACACACCTCCAATCTAGGGTACTACAGTTTGGTTGGTCTGGCAGTTCCCTAGGGGATCAACCTTCTGGGCTGTGGAATATTCCCCTAGCGGCATCTATCAGAAAGTTTAAAGCAACAGAATCCTATTTCTTCCCATCTATTTGGAATCAGATATTTAAGAAATCTTTGTCAGGTGGGATATACTCAAGGTCATTCTGTGGCTCTCCTGGACTTGTTTTAATTTTCTTCAGCTTTAAACTGAACTTGATGTAAGCAACTGATGGTTTGTTTCGCAGTCAATTCCAGGCTTTGTTTGTTTGATGATATTGAGCTTCTCTGCCATTTCTTTCCACAAATGTAGTCAATTTGATTCTCGTGTATTCCATGTGGCGAGGTCCATGTGTATAGTCACCATTTATGTTAAAAAAAAAAAAAAAAAAAGTATTTCCAATGAGTATGTCACTGGTCTTGCAAAAAAAACTTTTTGTCAATTTATTTTTTAGCTTGTGATTTGGGTGAAAATTTACAGAGCAAATTCATTTTCCATTCAACAGTTCATACACATCTTGTTTCGTAACACTGATTGCAATCTCTACAGTGTAACAGATCTATTCCCCCTTCTGCCCTGTGGTTACCTTCTTTTTTTCTGTGTCCTTCTTTCCTATGCATTCCTGCCTTCTGATCTCTCTGTGCAAATGCTGTTCCCCTTCTGATCTCCCATGGTTGACTGTTTTAAGGAGTACACTTCCATGGTGTGAATGTTCACCTAAAAGGCCTGTCTACTGTTTGGCTGGAAGTTAAGCCATAGGAATAAAATTCCAGGTCCCAAGGGTGACTAGGGACTACAGTCTCAGGGGCTGCAAAATTCTATCATGTCATTCCACATCCTTTCTATCACCAAGGCCATATTTTCCAACTACTGATCTTTGTCTCCAACTTCTGTATTCCAATCACCAGTAATTATCAATGCATGTTGATTACATGTTTGATTAATTTCAGACTGTAGAAATTTGTAAAAACTTCAACATCTTCACCTTTGGCATTAGTGGTTGATATAGTCATATTAAATGGTCTTCCTTGTAAGCACATGGAGATTATCCTATAATTGACAGTATTTTACTTCAGGATAAACCTCAAAATGTTTTTGGACAATCAATGTGACACCATTCCTCTTCAATCTGGCATTCCAGGCACAGTAGACTACATGACTGTCCAATTCAAATTGGCTACTACCAGTACATTTCAGCTCACTAAGGCCTAGGATATCGATCTTCCTGTATTCTATTTCATTTGTAACAATTTTATTTTGACTACCACTTGTCTGTCAGTTTGTTACAATGTGGTGGCTTGCATGTTGCTATAATGTTGGAAGCTATGTCACTATTTCCAATACCAGCAGGGCTACCCGTGGTGGAAAGGTTTCAGTGAAGCTTTCTGACTCACACAGACTAGCAAGAAGGACCTGATGATGTACTTCTAAAAAAAATTGGCCAATGAAAATCTTAAGAATAGCAGCAGAACACTGTCTAATGCAGTGCTAGAAGATGAGCCTCTCACATTAGAGGCGCTCAAAATACAACTGGGGAACAGCTGTTCCTCAAAGTAGAGTTGACCTCAATGATGTGGACCTTCATTTGCTGATGTGGCACAACTCAAAATGACAAGAAACCGATGTAAACATCCATTAATAATTAGTCATTAAGAAAATGAAAATCAAAACTACAACCACACCCAACATGATGACTATTATCAGATAAAAAAGAAAATAACAAGTGTAGGCAAGGATGTGGAGAAATTGGAATGTGCATTCCTGGTGGGAATGTAAAATGGTGCAGCCACTGTGAAAAAGCTTGACAATTCCTCAAAATGTTAAACACAGAAGTAACATGCAATCTAGCAATTCCGCTCCTAGGTATATACAAAAAAAAAAAAAAAAAACCAAACAAACAAAAAAACTGAGAACAGGACTCAGGTACTTGTATGGCAATGTTCACAGCAGTGTTACTCACATCAGC